AGCAGCATTTTTTAAAAATGCACAGCAACTTCAGGGTAGCAAAAATTTAGGGTGGACCTATAATTATGAAACTACCGATATAGCATGGTGGTAGATAATAATAAACATGTAAATCAAAATCCGAACCCCCAGGTATACAGTATCCTTCGGTCTATATGTAGAAGACTACGCAGTGTTCAAAATTTGGCAACGTTTAGAGATTAGAACGAACCTGCGTTGGATGGGTGTACTGATTGAGGGCGAACTCGAGTCGAGGCGTCTCGGCATATTGAATGATGGCCATTACGACTGCCTTCGCTCGAAATGTTCATCCGTTGTGCCAAGTGCATAGCAAAAGCTATCTGAAAATTTCTTGCTGTTTTGGAGACCCTCTTGAAAATTCATCTGATAAAGCTTTTGAATTGGATATAACATTTTCTGATCTCGATTGGACGATATGATTCTGTTCTTGCTTTTCTTAGTTTTCTCGTGCCAAAGTTGTTAAGTGGAACATTTTTAAGTGACCTAACGTTCTGAAAGGATCGCTGTTTTCGGAGGCTGGCGGTCCGAGGTTCGCCGCCACAGAAGAGCTCAGTCAGTTGAAATGGTGTAATCGTCCCCCCTTTGGAGGCGAGATTCATTTGAAACGTTAGGCCAGTAATTAATGTTCCCCTAACAATCTCGTGAGGCGCAAGAAAAATATGATCCTGTGGTACATGGTAAATTAAGGAACTCACAACAAGCATATCGTAGTTGCTAGAAGAGAAGTTGGGATTCTATTCCTACTCTTACTTTTTTAGCGTGATCTCTTTCGCTTCATTCTCTTATCCCATCAAAACGTAGCGCCACGTTCGTTTTCTTACCACCTTCTCATTCTCGTCACTTGCTTTCTCCCCATTTTCCCTTTCCTTAAAAAACAAACTCACAAATGCATCTAGAGGGATTTTTATTGAACAATTTAGTCTTGGTGAAAGTACCATTTAACTCGGAAACGGGTGGCTGACCTGGTTTCGGAAGGTGTCATCGCCGATAGATCCAGAACCGTCCAATACCAATAAGAGATCGACGGATTTATTGCTCACACATTCTGAAGTACAACCGTTTGAACTGAAGTAACTGCAGTATTGCCAAGAGACAAATTGTTTGATGAGGGTATGAGAAGTCTTCCTGACGCAATGTGGGGGAGGGGGCAACCCCAAACGTTGTGTCAGATTCACCGTAGTGCTCAGTTTCGAGACTAAGCCTCAAGAAAAAGAGGGCCGAGGTGAGTAAGCAATTTTATCGTTCGCTCCGTTGGGCTAGCCCTGCAGACTGCACCCACTCCCCCCTCCCCCCCCAAAAAACCACATTGTCCACATTGGTTTCGGTTTTCTTTTGGGGATCATCTGAAAGAGAGACATTAGGAAGTATCTCGAAAAACTTGCCGTGTATCAGTTCGGAGTCAACGAGACCGTTATCGATAGGGTTTGAAAAAACGCCCAGGAAGAGCAGCGAAAGCTGCCAAATGATCTTCTAAAATGAGATAACGACTTATATGAGATTTTTTCTCCGCATTTCTCACACCATGAAGTGATGAAAGCCTTACAGTCATGCGACAAGTCATCTTACTGTCGATCATTGCATTCCTGACGTTCGACATTCGTGGCTCAATCCAGCACTATCATCATCACCGAGTTGCTTTAGCAAATTTCTGGAACTATGCCTACTTTGGTCGAACTGGACTTACAATTAGAGAATATGCTTGCTTTCTTTGGAAGAACAAAAAAGCTGAGAGTATAAATCAATGATACTCCACGATTCGGAGTAGGTGTTTCCACAGAAGAGCTGATTCATGAAAGGCTCTACAGGAAGTGAAAGTGTTACTAGCCACTAAACAAGGTTCGGAGAAAGTGATTACTGTAGAGTAAATTGCAGTGAATAACGACAAGCCACAGCTGCCGGATGACTCTGCGAGATCTGACGCAATCGTGTAAACCACAAATAATCAAGATAAACGAAGGAGGCTCGGAAACTGCCAAAATTGGCAGCAGAGCTTCCGTCGTAGGCACGATTTAGGAGTACACTGGTGTGCATTTTGGACACGAAAATTCACTCATTGCTACGAAGTGGGTCAGAGTAACGAGAAAAGTTAAAAATCCGTCGAAAATGATCAAGTTAGGTCACCAAAGGCACAACCCATTCACAGCTTGTGTAAGTGTCTTGCCTTCGGTCTGTAAAATGGATGCTTATAAGGG